CACACACACACACACACACACACACACACACACACACACACACACACCTTTGGCAGATTTCCTTTTTCATGACAGAGTTCCTATTTGTAGCCTTGGCTGTCCTAGACTCAGTTTGTAGACCAGGCTGGATTCACAGAGCCTGTCTCTGCCTCCCTGAGTGCTGAGATTACAGGCGAGAGCTAACATGCCCAGATCCTTTGGCAGATTTTTTAATTCAAATTACAGCAGAACTTTTACAGAAGTAACAATAAAACAAAAGTGAGATTCTTGCAGTGGTCTCTAATCCAAGAAGGGGAAATCTGCACACAAGAAACTGGCACAGAGGGAAGAGGGTGTGAAGAGACAGAGGCTGTGGGTAGCTACCTCTGAGCCAAGGAGAGTGGCCCGGACCAGCAATCCCCCTACAAGAAAAATCATACCAAGCTTTGAGAAGAGTTGCAAACTGCGAGAAAACATGTATTTTATCATGAGAGTCATCCCGTGTGTCAGGTCACTGCTGCAGCATCCCTGCACACTGATTTAAACATCAGTCCACTTTCCTGGACCTAGGCCCCCTACATATATGTACATGATGGAGAGTTTAGTTTTCTTGTGGGTCACCTGCTAAAGGGAGTGGGGGCTGTCTCTGACAAGGACTGTCTTGCATGCTTTTTGATCACTTGATCTGGGCAGGATTGCCTTGCCAGGCCACTGAAGTAGAGGATGTGCTCAATCCTGATACAACTTGATGTTGCTGGGATGAGTAGTTGGGAGGGGGAAGAGTCTCTTTTCTGAGGGGGAGGGAAGAGGAGATTCCGGGAAGGGAGAAGGAGGTTAGGACCAGAAAGAGAGGAGGGAGGGGACTATTATTGGGATATAAAATAAAAGATAAATAAATAGATGATAGATAGATAGATAGATAGATAGATAGATAGATAGATAGATAGATAGATAAGTTGTTTTTTGTTTTTTTTTTTTTAAGATCAGTCCATTTTCAAGGAGGTCATGAATTATGTTTTGGGTGAACGAATTTGATGTTTTGTTTGGAGGAACCCACCAGATAGAGACAATAGAGTCAATAGCACTGAACTGAACAATGGAAATTTGGGGAATAATTGAATGAGTAAATGTAACATTTGCCCAAAGACTGAGGGGCATACAAGGATGTTAAATTTAATTCTAACCTCCGCCATTACTGCCAGGGTCTGCTCAAGCCATATCACTTCAGAGATGTAACCAAGGCTGACACTGAGGTCAGTGAATTTGAAGGAGCCAATGCATTGGCTGATGATATTTATGCTCATTCAGAAGGCAGAGCCCTCTTTGTCCTATGAAATCTGGGACAAAACACTAAATAAATACCAAAACTATACTGAGCATAGAGAGTTGTGCCCTGTGTCGAGTCTTAGGTTTATGTCCATGTTCTGGAATGTCGACCTCCCAATGATAATGCCACATCTATTTTAGGCAGCAAGTCAAACCTGTTTAGCTTAGAATGTCAAAATAAATTGACAGGATAGAATAATAGAAAACAGAAATAACTAGAGTTAGGAAGCCTTTGGTTTGAGTCCCAGCTATGCATCTGAAAAGCTGAGAGGCCTGGACCCTTCTGTGGTCATTTCCCTCAACTATAAGAGGGTGTTGAGGGAGGAGACGTGGGGCAATCATCCAACTCTGACATTCTGTGAATCTCTCCATCTTGCCATTAATTGGAATTGCTGATAACATTTCCATAAACTGACCTGCCAAAGTGAATTACCCACCAACATGAAAATAGGAAGATAGGCAGAAAGGACTGTGGCAGATGACTGATAGAAATCTCCCTCCTTAAGATGATAAATGGGATGCTGGAGAGCAATGGCAGGTTTTTCTAATCTTAATTACCAGCAAATTGGGTTTTCCTGGAAAGTTTCACGATGCACACGCTCCCGTAATGTTGCTCAGTGTCTTAAATGTTGACCATGCTGGCAGAGGAGACACAAATCACCCTCCTCTTAGCTGCATTTGTAATTCCCCCCTAGACCACTTACCATTTAAACCACATGTTGACCTTTTCTTTATTTGACTGGACATTTTTAGCCCTGGATATAATAAGCCCGCAAGGGGCGGAGATGATTAAGATTGAGCATCTAGTCAGAATCACATTTTGTCTTAGGTCCTGTCTCGTATAATACCCCATTTAGCCCTTCCCGATGGGTCTGTCAGTCGGCCATGCATATCTGCTCCACACACAACATGCTGACAGTGGCATGCTGTGAGCTTCAGCCTAGCCACAGAGCACACTTGACTCGTGGGGACACATCAAGAGTTTCTCCTACCAGTACTAGATGGAAATTAGTTGGTTAGGATCTTCATCATGGAGGTGTCAGCGAGGCTGAGCTCTAGATGTCCGGGGTAGACATTAATTTGATAACACATGCACAGCCAGCCCTTTCTTTGGGGGATTTTGTTCTCTCAAGTGCTACAAGTTGGTGGACTGAATCATTGCGCTAAATCATCTGGTTTTCTTTTGGGTCTTTCTGTGGGTGAGGGGATCATGAGCATGTTCACATTTACATGTGCGTATGTGTGTGTGTGTGCACATGTGTGTTCTTTTTGTGTGCTCCTGAGGGAAATCATACATGTTGCTCCTCAGTTTGCCATCCACAATTCTTTTGAGAAAGGGTCTCACATTGCCTGGGACCATATTCAGTTGGCCAAGATGGCTGTCCAGCAAGCCTTGGGGATCCTTCTGGTCTCTACCTCCCAGCACTAGAATTACAAGCATGCTCCAGCATGACCAGCTTTTGCTTTTCTTTCTTTCTTTCTTCCTCTCTTTCAATCTCTCTCTCTCTCTCTCTCTCTCTCTCTCTCTCTCTCTCTCTCTGAATTTGAATGCGGGGATCAAACTCAGCTTCTTAGTTTTGAAACCATGTACTTACAGGATGTGCCACCTTTCTGATTCTTCATTTGGGTCTTAACCCTGTTGGTACCAATGATTATCTTAGAAATAAAACATTTATATTCATGCGTTTACTCAGATTCTGCTTCTTAGAGCCAAACTAAGGCATTCTCCAAGATTACTGTGCACTGGGTAGCATTACTTCTGGGAGGTAGCTTGACAAGGTTAAACAGTAGTTTAGTGTTGAGGTTAGATCCTGTTGACTTTTCCTCCACATAAGTGGTTGCCAAGCAAGACAAGTTTCTGTCCTTCAGGACACATGGTGCAATGTCTGGACACGTTTGGCTGTCACAGTTGAGCAGGAGATATTCATTACCTCAAGCATGTAGAGGCCAAGGATGCTGATAAATACCCTATAGCCTTAATGGAAAAACATGAATCTAAACTAAAAACAAAAATGTCAACTATGCTAAAGTCAAGAAGTTCTACCTTCTGTCCAGTGAGACTGGCTTTGAGGTAGTTAATATTTACTGAATGTCTGTGTCATGTTCTGTGCCATGTTCTTGACCCATGTTATATAACACCTCCCTCGGAATGGTGGTGCTCGCATGTGATGTGATTACTGTGTCTCATTTCCAGGGTCAAGCTGTGGCTCAGCTGTGTTCTACCGTCCCCAATGTGACCGTCTTTGGAACAGCCTCTAATTTCAAGCATGAGGCCATCAAAGATTCTGTGACCCACCTTTTTGACAGAAATGCAGACTACGTGCAAGAAGTAAAGAGGTAAGGGGGTGGCTCTGCAGGGCGTCCAGGATGGCCCCTGCTCTTCTCTTGAAGATCATTAGGATTCACTGAAAAGATGGCTAATAGTGGGGCTGGAGAGGGTTATTGGGAGCATTTGATGCTCCTACAGAAGACCGTGGTTCAGTGTCTAGCACTTCCTGGATGCTCACAACCATCTGTAACTCCAGTTCCTGGGGATCTGGTCCTTTCTTCTGTCTTCCTTGTGCACTGCACTCACATTCTGTGCATACATACATTCAGACAAAACATTCATACACATAAAATAAAAATAAATCTTTAAAAGATAACTAATGAAAGGGAGTGGAGAGAAAGATGAGGATGAGGATCAGATGTGGGGAGAGAGGCAGAGACCAGAGGGATTAGAGAGAACAGAAACTGAGGGGGGGGGGCATCTCTGAATCAAGCTGGAGACCTGCAACAGGGTAGACTCCAGGGAGGGGATATGAGGGTTACTCTAGATAAGACTCTTAGTAGAGGAGTTCATGGAGACTGAAGAGACCAACTTCTAGCCAGACAGAACTTCTAGTGCAGGGAAGAAAACAGCAACCCACCCACAAAAACTTCAATCCAAAATTTACCCTGCCTACATGATGTGCAGGGATAAAGAGAGAGCAGAGATTGAGGGAATGTCCTAACAGTCCCTGGCCTAACCTGAGACCCACCCAATTGGAGATAGCCAACCCCTGAAACTATTAATGATACTCTGCTATGCTTACATAGCTGTCCTCTGAGAGACTCCATCCAGCAGCAGATTGAAGCAGATGCCAAGATGCACATTGGGTAAAGGGTATAGAGTTTTGTGGGAAAGTCAGGGGAAGGATAGAAGGACCTTGGGGGGGGGCAGGAGCTTCACAAGAAGACCAAAAGGGCTAACTAACCAGGTACCAGAGGGGCTTGTAAAGGCTGAAGCACCAACCAAGGATCATACATAGACTGGACCTAACCCTTCTACAGAGATGTAGCAGATGGGCAGTCCAGGCTTAATGTGGGTTCCCTAGAAAGGGGAGCAGGGGCTGTTTCTGACATGGACTCTGTTTTCTGCTATTTGATCACTCACCACTAGTGGGCTGCTTCACCAGGCCACAGTGGAAGAGGTTGTGCTCAGTCCTGATGTATCTTGATGGGGTGGGTAGGGAAGGGCTAGCCTTTCCTGAGGAATAGGGGAAGGGGGATGGGAGAAGTGGGAGGAAGAATGGAGCCAGGAGAGGAAGGAGGGGGCTATGATTGGGATGTAAAGTGAATAAATTAAATAAAATTAATTTTTTTACTAAAAAAAAAAAGATAACCAATGATGATAATGATAGCAAACACGTGTTGGAGGCTTGGTGCTAGCCCTAGCTTGATGCTTCACATGTGTTAGTTCATCAGACACCCTCAAACTTCTTGTTATTATCCCTGAAACTTACAAAATTAATCTGTTAATGGTATGATAACTGCCATTACACTGTCTTGATGCATGCAAATCTAATTCCCGTTCATTCACATAAAAAGCTCAAAATAGATGCTCATCTGTAAGATGATTCTCGTACTCAGGCTCTTCAAATTTTGGTTCTATCATCATCCTGAGTCTTCTGGCCCCTCGGTTGTCGCAAAGAAGATGGGAAAATAGCAATAGGTCCATGCATGGGAGGTTTTTTTATTGGTCAGTCCTGGGATGAATACATGTACCCTGCCCAAATTTGGTGCTAATATCTGGTCGTTGGCCACACTTCACTGAGTGCAAACTGATAACTGTCACCTTGTTATATAAGCAGGCAGAGCCAGCCTTCATGGGATGGTGAAAGGTGGAGCCCCAGTTCATACCAAGCTCTCTAGTTTGTGAACACATGCTTTCACTGCGGAAAGAGTACTTTCTAAAGAGTAGAGCCTGAGCCATAGTTACCTGTAGGAGGAAGGGAGCCCGGTAGAGGATGTTTTAGAGATAGAGGTAGCTACTCACATGCTGAGCAACAGGTTCAAAGGTTAAGAAAATAGCAACAAAATTCAACAGGTATAAGTCCAGAGATGTCTGACTACATAATCTAATCACAGTTTACCTGTCATCCATAAGCTATTGATCTTGGCCATGTGTGTCTACAGGGAATCACATGAGGAGTTCAGGTGATAGCACATCTGTAAATTGTGTGTGTATGTGTGGGGTGTGTGTGTGTATGTTTTACTTGGCTGCTGCCCAGGGTGAACTCAGTTTCAACCTTTTTCAACTGAGAGTTGCTGGAGGAATCAGTGGTAGCCAGATGTAATTAGTCAATCAGCCAGCATCATGATAAAGGAACATTTTTTTCCAGGTCACAAATTAAGATGAAAAGGGACCTTTCTCCTTGATTGTTCAAGCAGAAATTTAGACTAGCTTTGTTTTGTTTTGTTTTGTTTTGTTTTGTTTTGTTTTGTTTTGTTTTTTAGGTGGGGCATATTTTAGGAAGAAAAATTTTCTAATGAGTAAAAATTTCAGATTTGTTGGGCTGGGGATATGCCCCAATCATTAAAGTGCTTGCTTTGCAAGTGTAAGGAGCCATGTTCAATCCCCATGTAAAAGAGCCAGGCATAGTAGCACATACCTGTGATCCTAACTCTTGAAAGACAGAGACAGGAGGATCCTTGGGGTTTGATGGACAGCCAATATGGCCATATACAGCTCAAGGTTTAATGAGAGACCAGTCTCAAAACTAAGATAAAGTCAGGAATGGTGATACACACCTTTAATCTTAGAACTTGAAAGGCAGAGACATGGCCTGTGAGTTCAAGGCGAGGCTGGTCTGCACAGTGAGTCCTGGTCCAGGGTTGCAGAGGGAGACCCTGTCTAATACTTAAGGTGGGAAGTGATTGAGGTTAAGATATGCACTCTTAACCTCTGGCCTCTACATGTATGCATAGGAAGTGGGGGAATAATACAAGGATGTCCCAGTATCTCCAGCAGGACATAAAAAGGAGCTTGCATTTAAATCTAAATATAAGAAGTTCACCACATTTCTCAGAGGTGCAGAGAAATAGGTAATTTTGAAGACTTCTGTTTGCCCAGTTCACTTACTTTTAATTCAAGTCTCTCAAGCTGAGGTCTGGACTATGAACTGCTGTTGTTCCTTCAGTAATCTCTTCTTTAACCTCCGTAATGGATTGTTTTTGCATTCATCTACTTACTGATTAATAAATACTTGCTAGGGTCTGAGATGGAATTGTATCTGTGCCAAAGAGGAAGAGCCAGCCACAACCAATCAGAAAGGCTCTGTACTTAAGGAGTTTGGAGTCTAGTTGGTAGAGGGGAGAGAAAGAAAGAAAGAAAGAAAGAAAGAAAGAAAGAAAGAAAGAAAGAAAGAGAGAGAGAGAGAGGGAGGGAGGGAGGGAGGGAGGGAGGGAGGGAGGGAGGGAGGGAGGGAAGGAAGGAAGGAAGGAAGGAAGGAAGGAAGGAAGGAAGGAAGGAAGGAAGGAAGGAAGGAAGGAGGAAATTATTGAAAGATTTGTACTTTGGACATACAGTCTGGTGGATGGATGCAGGGTGCTAGTATGAGAGCTCACACATGACACTGATCTGAGAGCTGACCGATGAGAAGTTAGGGGAGAAAAGCATTTTGGATTAAGGGGAACGGCATTGCTGAGGTGCTGGGGAAACTAGGGGTCCTGAAAAGAGACAAACCAAACGTGGCTGGTCATAGAGAACAGCAAGAACAGAAAATCAGGACAGTGCAACTGTTCTCAACACATGGAAGCCCCTAGCCAGGGCACTCCTGCCTGCCCTACTTCCCACACAGCTGTTTCATCTCCTCAGCCCCTCCTTGCCCTGGCCCCACTCAGTGATTTCTACCCTCAGGAACGTGGAAGGAAACAGTGGCGGGGACCCACCTCATTACCACCTGCCTTCAGAGGTGGCTTCCAACAGCTCGTTTTAAGTAGAGACCCGGTAGATATGGGAAATGGCTGGGGAGCTGTGACTGTGAGTGCAGCCGCTGCTCAGAAATCCTGTCCCCAGGAAACAGTCCAGAGCAAGATCAAAGCCAAAGGCACAAAGCCGCTAAGCCACGCTCTGCTTCTGCACGGTCGGTCCCCACCACTCAGCATATGTTGGCAGTGAATTATATAACAGGCCTGTCGGTAACAGCAGCAATCAGATCCAGCCTCCACTGTCAACAGAAGGCAAACGGGGCAGAGATTTTTTTGCTACACCGCATGCGTGAGTTATGCAGTCCCTTTTAAAAAATGATAATTATGAAGGCTGTGTCACAAAAAAAAAAAAAAGAAAGAAAGAAAGAAAAGAAAAAAATGCCTGTGGCAGAATTTAAGGGGAGAAAACAGAATGCCAAGTTCCATCAAAGCTGTGATCACAACTTGATTCAAATTCTCCGTGCATGGGGATGTGAAAGGAAAGGGAAAACACCCCGTCACTCACATGGAGTAAAGCGTAACGTGGAGTTATTTTTCCCTGGTGTTTTACTATAGACATGGTTACAGTAATCTATGTACAGTGAACTGCAAAATTATAGCAAAACAAAATTTCCTGCAATAAAAACTCACACAGACTAGCCCCATGGGGGGCTCTTTGGAATTCATGCTAAGCCAGGAAAGAAACTATAGGAAAAAAAAAAAAACAAAAAACTTCTTTTCTAATGGATGTGCTATATATGTATGTGTGTGCGCCTACGCATGTTTTTATACACGCACGCATGACCACAATGTGTGCACGTGTTCAGGAATATTGACACCCCCCCCCTTTGAAGCTGTCTCTTTCATTGCTCCAGAGCCCACGATGGCTAGGCTGCTTCACCAGTGAGCTCCACACTGCCTCCTGTCTCTGCCTCCCAAACACTGGGATTCATAGCTTGTTTGCCACTCCCGGCATTTCCATATGGGTTCCGACGACCTGACTGGGCTCCTCGAGGTTGTGAGGCATGGACTGAGCCATCTCCTGAACCTGAGGGAGGGAAACAAACCGACTCTGATATAGACTTTGTCTTTGCACTGGTTTTCTTAGCTGTGTGCAAAGCGGGATG